TGCATTCTTATGCCCAAAAGCTTCTGTATTATAGAGGTGTGTGGGGAAAACAGCCTGTGTCCATGACATCAGCAACACTTTGCTGATGAGTTTATAGGTTCAGTCAAAATTTTAGGGTCACATTGAATAGGAAAGGTTTAAATGTTAGAAAGGAGGATTATTATTGTGATCGATAACTTATTGTTTGCATCAAGGCGTTTTGTGTTGTAAGGTAAAGACCCTACAATAATACAGAGACAACTCTTCGTTCAAATATCATGACCCAGTATGAGAAAGCACTTGGCGAAAGTAGGAAGAAAATACTCCCTTTTAAAAGGAAGAAACCTCTGACAGGGTAAAGGAGGGGCAGCTATCTGGTGGGAGAGGTTGAGGAACATTGGACAGGAGGAGCTAAATTCAGAATTAAAATCATTTTTTTGGGTAAAGTTTTCACTGGAGCTAATTTTCATGTGGATAGCTTTGAAGGTAGTGGCAGAGCTGCTACCAAGACCAAGGCAGGAGTCAGTCGACTGGAAATCAGTGCAATGTTTGAGAAAATGAATACACCACCTGGTGTGGAAAATACTGGAATAAATTTTTAAGCTCATGTGCGAGCTTAAAATGAGGTTTGTATTAACGCAAAGTGGTGAAACACTTCATCATTCCTCTTAATTTGGCAGAAGTCTTAGCATTAAAATGTACTTAAGTAGATTTCTTTGCGGTACTTTAAGTAGAATCATATCCATTATATTGGGACTTTCATGGTGTAGGCAGAGATGTTTTTAATTTGTCTACTGCTGGGTAGCTTTTGGTGTAATAATACAGGATCATTTTCTACTGGTGCTTCAAACTGAAGAGGGTGAAAACCGTCCAAGTGCAATAAAACTATGTTAGAAGTTCTGCAGGTCGGGGTGAACCGTGCAGTGAATTGCTCTGTTGATTTTTATCTTTACTTTAGACACTTCCTGTTTTTGGATTTGCAGTGTTGAGGAGTCGTTCCTGTTTATTTAACTGCTTTTGAGGAAGATTTATTTTCAGATTGATGGGCTTCTGCAGGCTTTTTCTGGACAAATTTGCTTAAAATAACTCCAAGTCAGGCATGCCGTGTGTGTGTGTGTTTCAGAGACCACTTTCATTTTTTGTTTAGATTTTTAGGAGCTAGCTATAATTCCTGTGATCCTGTCTGCTTTTAGTAGATTAGGACTCACTCAAATGTAATGGTGGCCCGTGACCTCTGAATAAGAGAGTGTGTGTTTGCATGTATAAGTGTGTATTTCCATTTATCTCCTTGTGTGATAAGTGCACTGATGCTAATGGGCCTTTTTTAAGGGTACTGCTACTTCTGTCTGTCTGGCTACAAGCCCCCCCGCCCCCCAAAAGGAAAAACAAACAAACAAACACCCTTCAGTACACCACTTTCATTTCAGGGTTTACCCAGAACACCAGAACAGGAAAGTGATGAACAAACACACACACACACACACACACACACACACACACACACACACACACACACACACACACACACACACACACACACACACACACACTACTCATAATCAGTTTACAATAATCCTCGGCAGTAAGCGGCAGGGTTAAATGTGTTTGTGTCTCTCTGAAGGATCTGATTTTCCTGGTTTTGGCTGTCATCTGTGATAGCGATACTCGCTAACGTCAGAAACAGCAGCATTTATTAAAGAAAGAGCTCATGGTGCTAGAGTGCTGTGTATTTGAGTTTTGGGTTCCTGTTTTAATGTATTTGCTGTTCTGGAAATTCTTTCTGGAATTTACTTTTCGAGCTTACTTTCATTTTTATCCTTGCTTCTGTTTTTTGGTGTTTCCCTCTGTCTTGTTTTTTTTCTGTGTCATCTTGTTTAGTGCAGGTCTGTCTACATAAAAAGTATATGTGGCACATCCATCCCAGAAAATGGCTCAATTAAGTAGAAAATCATAGAGTAAAATTAGCAAACAGTAGAAGTCTTCAATGTAATAACAGTCCGTTTAAGTACAAATTTGAATAAAATACAACACTTCATGCAAAAAGTTTTATATGAAGGAAGATATGTTAATAATTTTAGTAAAAAGTAACAAAGTTAATTTAAAAACTAAGGTGACATTATAATGGCTCAGTATGCACAGTTTAAAGTAGTGTACAGGGCTGAAATGTTAACTGATGGTCATTTGCTCTCAGATGATGCATTGCATTGCAGAAAGTTGTTGCATTGCTTAGGAAAGATTTCCTTTGTCTGTGTTTCTGGCTCGGAGAAATATGAACACAATTGTCCAAATGTGCAGGTGAACACTACTGTACAAAAGTCTTTATATTTAGTTTCCAAGGAGCCAGACCTCCTTGCAATTTTGTAAAGTGGTCTTGAGGAATAGCACTTTACAGCAAGCAGTGACTGCTTTTTCACTGCTTTTCATTCCACTCCAACCATCTTTGAAAAATGCCAATGTTTGACAGGCATTAAATTATGTAAAATTTTAGTGTTTTGGCATAGTTAGCATAATATTTGTTTTCCCTACAGAGCATAGAAGAGTACTGTTAGATTTTGATGCAATACCATACAGTAAAAGCATACCTGGATAGAAAACCAGACAGTGGAACATAATCAGTCATGGACTGGCCTCCCCAGAACCCAGACCTCAACATTAATGAAGACGTGTGGGATCATCAAACAGCAACCAACATCCAAATAAGAACTTTTCATTGTCCTTCAGGAAGAAGGACTATTGGAGAACTATTCCTGAAGACTACTTAAGGAAATTACAGGAAATCGGCCTCAGAGTTTCGGCTGTGTTGAAGAATAAAGGTGGTTACACAAAATACTGACTTTAAAGTGATTGTACAAACAGTCTTTGCCTTCCGCTGTATTTCCATTCACGGTTGCACTACACCCATTTTCTTCACAAAACATTGAGAAATGAGGGGTGGTGAACACCAGCAATATGTCTGACTTCCAGTTTATTAGAAACCCTGTTTACTCATTTAATAGGTGCAGTAGGTCAAACGTGAATCAGCAGAAAATGAAACATTTTTCGTTTTCATTTCTCGTTTCTTGTTGATTTTTAAAATTGGTTTCGGCAAGCATCAAACGCACCATTGTCCCTAAACAAATGTGTGTCCGACCTCAGCAGACAAAATGAAACACAAACTTGTTTAAACCTGATAAATGTTTGCATATTCGCTTTCTGCCTTTCGTTTCACTTCTGAATAAGCAGTTCCAGTAAAACTCTGGGTTTGCTCAGTCTCGCTGCATGTGCTACTTCCTCTAATGGACTTACTGTGTTGCAGTGCCCTCAGAGCTGAGTGGAGAACTTTGTGAGTAACGAGGAGTAAAAGTGTAAAAATGAGGCCTTAAATAACGAGGTCCTTTAATCAGTTAGACTTAGCTGGTATTTGTGTGTGGTCGCTGTTTTATGCAGCATATGTCCGGCCACCATACGTCCTTTCATTTCCGGTCATCCACAGTGTGCTATTTTTATCTCAGGAGCTGTGAGCACTTGTTTGTGTGCTTAAATGTGTGTGTGTGTGTGTGTCATCAGGTTACAGGGTGTGTAAGTGGACTCCTCTTTGTCCTGGCTGATAATTTTAGACAGAGGGCCACTGAAACTTTCAACAGGGGGTCAGATACTCTGTGCAACCTTTTCCACTGACACACACACACACACACACACACACACACACACACACACACACACA